AGTTCAAAAACAGGCAAATGCAGGAACTTATTACAAAACACAATCAATAATTCAAATCTAATACTTATGAATACTGGGGAACCCACCAGGTTTAATTCCTATAATGGAAATCTTTCATCTATTGATATCTCACTATGCAGTCCATCACTGGCAACTATATTACAATGAAAAACATTAAAATACTTACATGAGAGTGATCACTTTCCAATCATAATTGACATTCTAAATAACAAACAAGAAACAACAAATCCAATTTACCAGAAATGGAAAATAAAAACCGCTAATTGGGACCTTTTTCAGCAATATATCGATGAAAAACTATGTAACTTCACACTAGATAGAAATATTGACAAAAACATATGTACGTTAAATAATATAATTATATCGGCAGCGCATAAAGCTATCGGTAAGACAAAAACTTGTAATAGGACACCGGTCCCCTGGTGGAACGATCAAATTGCCAAATCATTATCTGCAAGCAAACACGCACTAAATATTCTTCAAAAACATAAAACAGATGCTAATCTCCTGGAATTTAAAAAGCTTAGGGCAAAAACTCGGTATTTAATCAAAAAAAGCAAAAGAGAATCTTGGCATAATTATGTTGCCTCAATAAATCCCTCAACTCCTATCGAAACAATCTGGAAAAAGATCCGAAACCTTAAAGGATCAAACAACTACATCAATATTAATACTCTTTCTTACAATAATAATCTTGTTTCAGACAAAAAAGACATATCTAACGTATTAGCCGATGTGTATCAAATAAATTCTAGTGATAGCAACCTAAACTCAAATTTCGTTAAATAAAAAATCATGAAGAATCCTTTAATATTTCAATCCATGACAGCAAATCGCCACTAAATGAAAACATAACTCAACAAGAATTTGATTATTCTCTAAACTGCCTTAAAAACACCTCTTCCGGTCCAGATGATATTCCACCTATTTTCTTGAAAAATATTCCAAAATCAGCTAAACTTATCCTCCTAGAACTATTTAACTCAATGTTTGTCAATAATATATTTCCCAAGATATGGTGCCATGCAATTATCATCCCAATTCTTAAACCCAACAAACCTAAAGATGATCCCTTGTCATATCGTCCAATCTCCTTGACATGTAGTATGTGTAAACTAATGGAAAAGATTATAAATAACAGACTAGTATGGCACCTAGAAAACTCAATGTTATTATCCCCCTATCAAAGTGGGTTTCGTAAAGGCAGATCCACTACCGACAACTTAGTATCGCTTGAGTCTGAAATCCATGAAGCATTTCTACACAATCAAAAATTACTAGCTGTCTTTATTGATATTAATAAAGCTTTCGACACTGCATGGAAATATAACATCTTAAAAACACTACAAAAATTTGAAATCGAGGGTCACACACTAGCTTTTATACAAAATTTCTTAACTAATAGGCACATTGAAGTAAGAGCTAACGGTTATAACTCTAGTCCACGCTCTCTTGAAAATGGAATTCCGCAAGGCTCCATTTTAAGCCCAACATTGTTCCTGATTGCAATAAATAACATCTTGGACGAAATGAGATTACTGATTAAAGCCAATTTATACGCAGACGACTTGATTATCTACCATAAGAGCAGAAGTATGGAATGTGCGGCTGAAGTAATACAGATATTCTTACATACGCTGGAAAAATGGTCACTTAAAATTGGTCTTAACTTTTCTCCTGAAAAAACACAGTACATAATATTCAGCAAACGGAAAAATATAAAGAACGTTAATCTAACTTTAAATGGACATACTCTAAAAGAAAAACTGCCCGGGGTTAACTTTAGATTGCACCCTAAACTGGAAAAGCCACATACATACCTTACAAAAACAATGCCAACCTAGAATTAATCTCCTGAAAATTCTCTCAAACCGTACATGGGGAGCAGATACAAGAACCCTATTAAACTTATTCCAATCACTTATACGTAGCAAATTAGACTACGGCTCAATATATTGTGGTACTGCCAAAAAAACTACAATAAAAAAACTAAACTCAATTCAAACAACGTCACTAAGAATTGCTCTGTGCGCATTTAGAACTAGCCCAACAAATAGCCTTCAAGTATTAGCTAACGAACTACCTTTACACTTACGAAGGCAACAACTGTCACTAAATTATGCAACTTGTATATCATCAAATCAACAAAATCCCATGCATTCAAATATTTTCAAACCTAAATGTATTAGTAATTACAAAAATAAACCGATTAATATACTCCCTTTTCATGAAAGAATCAAATTCAGTGGTTACGAGTGTGAGCAGTTTAATGCCATCATAAATCCAACCCAAAACTTTTCCTCCTGGTCAACTAGTCCACCAATTGTAAATACATCCCTTACTCGCTATCCCAAAACATCCACTAACCCAAAAGTAATACGTCAATCATACCATGAAATAATATCCCTATATCCAAATTCTGAACATATCTACACTGATGCATCAAAAACTCAATCAGGACTAGCAGCGGCTTACATACATGGAGCAGACCACTTTAAAATACGACTCCCTCCGAGTTGTAGCATATTTACTGGAGAAGCAATGGCTATTTTAGAGGCACTGAAAGTTTGCAGAAGAAAATCCGCACCTTATTATATTATATCTGACTCACTAAGTACACTAAAAGCTTTACAGCAATTGTATCCATCAAATGGAATTATAATGTTAATAAAAAATGAACTCATACTACTATCAACAAAAAACATAGAAATAACTTTTTTATGGGTGCCATCACACGTGGGAATCAAGGGAAATGAAGCAGTGGACCAACTTGCGAATGAAGCTGCACTAGATGAAAGCATTCCTGTGTCACACATAATAACAAGAAACGACCATAAAACCCCCATCAAAAAACATATTACCAACTTATGGCAGTGTACCTTACCACTCCCACTCAAACGTTGTGAACAAGTGATAATAACTCGACTACGATTAGGACATACTATACCAACCCATATTCACTTAATAAATAAAGAAGCCATCCCTTTCTGCCACAACTGCAAGATCCAAATCACTGTGAAACATATTCTGTTAGAATGCAAAACATACACCCAAGAAAGAAGAAAAAATAACCTCTCTACCAACATGAAGGATCTATTAAGCTGCCAGTTCAACAAAGTGCTTAAATATTTGAAAGACATTAAAATTTACAGTGTTTAATAAAACATATTTAAGTTATACATATATACCTTGTAAGAAATTAAATACTTGTAATTTTGTGTTTGTACCCACTGCTAATAACTCTTAGTAGTTAATGCAGGGTCATTTTTGTTTAAATCAAAAGAAACAACCAAAGTGATAACAAATAAATTAAATTAAATTATAACACTAGCATAAGAACAACAAGGTTTTAGGTCGGGAAGATCATGCACCGACGCTAGAAAGCTCGAAACCGAAGTGGAAGATCAAATGAAACAATATTATATTTTTTTCTCCAGAGAAGACAAAAAGGATGTTAGAGAAACAGCAGAGATGAAAACACTTAGAAAAATTGATGTTAAGACACGATGGAACAGAGCTAGAAGTACAGATATACGACATAGATGCAAAGTGGAGAACATGAAAAACTAGGTAAGAAATAACAGAATAGAATGGAACGATCATATAAGCAGAATGACAACAAATAGAGTAGTAAAGACGGCAAGAGACGGTTCCCCAATAGGAAGACGATCAGTAGGAAGACCACGAAAATTATGGAATGACGACTTACTGGAGATACATTGAAAAACAGGCAGAGTCATGTCTATATAATAAGGAGAAGAAGATTATACCGATTTACTAAAAAATACGTAATGATAAACTCATGTTCAAAAAATGATCATTATGTGAGTGTTTAATTATAAATTTTGAAAAAAATTGTTTTTTGATATGTATATACAGGGTGAGTCATAACTATTGGGACATAGACTAAGGACATGTTATTTGGACAAAAATATGGCTATTGGCCAAATATGCCTGTATAAAATGTTGCTGAGAAAAAAGATACCGGGTGTTAAAATTATTTTTTGTGTTCGTTTTTTGTTAATAGTTTCCCTGTATATTTATAAATTGCTATCAGAATTGGCACAGATGCATAATCTTAGACAAGAAATAGTATTTTATTTACAATTTCACTATCAAATACCAAACTAATAAACAAAGTTTCAACTAACGTAAGGTTTCTGTTTTGACTATAAATCAAAACTAAACACACTTTAACTTAAAAGAACTCACAAAAACTCAAACCAAATGTTCTACATGGTCTCCTCCGATTTCTATGCCCTTTTAATTCTTTTTATAAAGGATTTTCGGACGTTAAAAAAAATAGTATTCTGTCCCATTATAAGATTAGCTGCATTTTGAATGTATCTCCAAAGTTCGTCTCGTGTATTAATTTTATTGGCATAAACTAAGGACTTCATATGCCCAAAAATAAATAGACTATATATATATATATATATATATATATATATATATATATATATATATATATATAATTCTCAATCTACTGAAGAAATAAAATATGACCTGGCAACCTTTCTGGTGCCGGCTTCAGTCAATTCCATACGATTAGGCGTCTCCTTTCTTTCCTTGTCTATGGAATTTGCAGTGTTGCTGGCACAAATTCTTCTCGTATACGTGTAACATTTCAAAGGATGTTCAAAAATACACATTCAGGTTCGTATACGAAATTTTTTTTTTTTTGAGTTAACTCGTATACGAAACAATTCGATTTAATTCGAGAATATAACCCCTGGATGTGCTCTTCGAACACTACTAATATTCGAGTTGTTACAACCGTACCCTGTTACAACCATAAACAGGCTCCCCTAGATTAAAAGCTAATACCAATTTTATTTAAAAAATTGCAATAAAATCCAATATAAATGCTCATCTCAAACTTTATTTAATAAAAATGAAAACTACATACATATATGTATATCGAGTGATCCTTAATTTATATATGTATATATATATATATATATATATATATATATATATATATATACTTATATCCAAAATAAGTTAATTAATTATTGTGTTAGCCAATTTAATGGCTATTCTTATTCTTTTGGTACATACTTAACGGATATAATTTTTCCCATTCTTCGAAACGTTTCTCGTTCAGTTTTTCGTGCATTACCAGCTTATTACCGATATCCATGTACTTTTCTTCTTTTGTTGTAAATGGCTCCCATTTGACGTTATCTAATTTTTCCGATGGAGTTGGTATAGGATTTCTGCAAAAAAATAAATATATCATTGTTATGATGCTATTTTATTGTGCTATTATTTTAAAGTTGTAAACTTTGTAATGGGAAATAAATAAAATTATAAAATTAAAATTTAAACTTTTTTATTTAATATAGATCTTAAATAATTTTTTGTTGGATTTTTATTTTATCTGTTGCATTTTACTAAGGTTTCCTTAACTCGAGGACACGAGGATCAAAATTTTCTTCTTGGTAAAATGTTATGAATATTTTTAAATGATCAGTGAATATCAAATGAACAAACTTATTTAATAAGTCCACATTATATATATATATATATATATATATATATATATATATATATATATATACAGTGTAGGTAAAATTTTATGGTCGGTATGGTAAAATTTAACAGGATATCTAGCACAGCGAAAAGACAAGGATAACAATCATATTTCCCCTTGGTCTCCCCTCCTTATTTCTCATTGACGCCCACTGCCCATTAGTGATACGATTAGTTCCGATCAGATATGGAGGATGCCGGTTTACAACATCCCTTCCATGGAGAGGCTTGTATGCAACAGTGTCTCTTTCAGCGGCTTTGTTCTTGCTGCAAGTCCAATTAGTCCGCTAGCCTTCGACAGCTCAGTAGAGAAACTAAAATGGACTTTCAAAGTTGCTTTTATCTGGCCTGTTGAATTGATATAGTGAAATGAAACAATTACTTGTTTAGAAAGAAACTGTAATTGAAAAAAGAAGGAAAGGGCAAGAAATAGAGCTTATAAAATTTGAGTGTGTAACTTATCGTAGGAACTTAATTTGAATATTACAATTTGCGAACGAAAGCGAAAACACCATAACACTTATTCACATATTACGGCTTCCCGGCCAACTGCGTAAACTGCAACGAGGAGAATCCTCTCCGAACTTTGAAATGTAGATGTTAGCCCTACGAATGTCGCTAAATCACTAGCCCCGCTGGAATATTTTTTTGTTTATGCATTTTGAAAAGCCGGTCTGTCGTCAAGTAGGCGCTGTGGGCGGGGATTAACATTCTCAGAAACAAGGTCTAGGTAGACTGGATTTATTTAGGTAACCGGCGCGAAAATATAATTATTTGATACAAAATAGAATTATTGGTTTGGAGATATAGTTCTCCAACATTCCCCCCGGCGTTAGAGCTTTGTGGTCTAACCTACTCTTCTTTATCTTGCATAGGGAGAACCGAAATTTTAGTGATTGCCCTTGTAAATTGGCCATTGATGGTCTTTAACTTGACCACTCTGACTTTGCCATCTTGACCGGGCATTGTATCAACCACCCGCGCTAGACGCCATGTTAGAGGAGGTACATCGTCCTCTCTCAGAAGAACAAGTCATTGACTTTTATGTTATCCCTTGGTCGGGACCATTTTGGAGAGTTTTGTAAGTGGTTTAAGTAGTCAACAGACCACTTTTTCCAGAAACTTTGTTGTACCTTTGCAATTTGCTGAAACATGGATAGTTTATTTTCCCGGATATTTTCTAAATTATGCTCAGGATACGCAGTCAGGCTGGAGCCTATTATAAAGTGTCCAGGACTGAGAAAAGTGTAATATGAAGGGTCGCTGGACATGGCACAGATAGGCCTTGAATTCATCACGGCTTCAATTTGAACCATGACAGTATAAAACTGTTCGAAAGTGAAAGAAGAAGAGCCTATTAGTCTACGCATATGATATTTAGCGCTTTTTACTGAAGCTTCCCAGATCCCAGCCCAATGAGGAGATCTAGGGGGAATAAACTTCCATGAGACTTGATTTTCAGAAAGGTATTCCACAATGGTTTGAGAATTTGACTTATTTTGAAAGAATTTGTATAAGTCATAGAGTTGGTTTCTTGCACCAGAAAAACATGTGGCATTGTCACTGTAAATGACGGTTGGGTTACCACGTCGAGAAATGAACCTTTTGAGAGTTAATAGAAAGGAAGAAGTTGTTAGATCAGAAACAACCTCAATGTGCACAGCTTTGGTCACCATGCACACGAAAATGGCTATGTATGCCTTGATTTTTGGAGCTTTACGGAGTGAAGAAGATTTTAACAGAAAGGGTCCACCATAATCTACACCTATTTTTTGAAAAGGTCTTGTTGTAATAGACAACCTATCTTCAGGTAAGTTACCCATTAGCTGTTGTGCAGGAGTGAACGAAAATCGGAAGCATGTGGTGCAGTTGCGAATAATTCGTTTTGCTTCCTTTAGACCGTTGAGAGGCCAGAATTTTAACCGAAGGTTTGAGAGAACTGTTTGAGCACCAGCATGTCCCAATCTGAGATGTTCATTTTTGATGATAAGATTGACGGTATGATTTTTGGATGGAAGCAGTATCGGATGTTTTTGCAAGTAGTCTCTGTCGGGGCAGTTTGTAAGTCTGCCTCCAACTCTAAGAAAATTTCAAGAATCTACAAATGGTTTTAGTGAAACGATGTTTTTATTTGAAATAAATTTGTTATTTTTAAGCTCCGAAATTCAGAAATTTTTTGTTTTTTACAATTAGAGATAAAACGAAATACGTACGCTACGGTACGTTTTAAGCATGAAATATTTGAAAAACGTGTAAAAAGTTCTCATTCAGAAGTTTTCTCCGTTAGAATTTACCACGAGGCTTATTTTTCGTTCCTCGGGCAGGTTTTCGAGAATTTTGTCATTTGCTAGATGGGAAACATTGAAATTTTTATCTTGTAAGCATTTAGGGCCTTGCCACCAGAAATCGCTATTGAGAATTTCAGAACCAGACATTCCTCGAGAAAGAAGATCTGCAGCATTTTGCGCAGACTTTATGTGAAGCCATGTAAAGTTTTGAGTCAACTCTTGGACAAGTGCTACCCGGTGAGCCACGAAAACCGACCACCGACTTGGGTGACTTTTACACCACGACAGAGCTACCCGGGAAGTCTGACCAGAGTGTGACTGAATGAAATTTTACAGGTTGATTTTCAAAGATAGAAATTACTTTTGTAACAAGTTTTGAAAGAAGAACCATTGCGCACAGCTCAAGCCTAGGAAGTGTTACCGTCTTTAACGGAGTTGTCCTTGATTTGGAAGAAACTAATGCACAGGGTATGGTCTCATCGGCATAGAACGTTCTCAGATATACGCATGCGCCATAAGCTGCCAAGCTACTGTCTGAGAATCCATGAAGCTCAACCTTTAGAATTATTTTTTCAGAAAAGTAGAAACGAGGAATTTTTAAATTTTTTAATTGTGACAAGTCCTGTAGAAACTTGTTCCAATCGTTTAGAATATTTTTGTCCGAAATTTCTGTGTCCCAGTGTATTTTTTGCAGATAGAGTTTCTGCATAAGCATTTTGCCTTTAACAATGAAAGGATTTATGAGTCCCAAAGGGTCGAAACATTGTGCTAATGCAGACAGAATTTTTCTTTTTGTTACTGGTGGGCAGAAATTATTTTCGGGGACGGAAATTGTTATTTGGTCTTCCGCAGGATCCCATTTTAGGCCTAGAACCTTGCTAGAAGTAGAATCGAAATTTAGGTCATATTCCTGAATAGTAGTTTTAGAATATTCTGAATTAATTTGTTGTAGGAATATGGATGAATTTGAATGAAATTTATGTAATGTAAAACCATGGCGGTTTAAAACAGAATTTAATTGCTGAAGTATTTCGAGCAATTCTTGAATATTATTTGACCCACATAAACCATCATCTACGTAGAATTGGGTTTCGAGAAAATGCGAGGCCAATGGGAATTGAATTTTATTTTTATTTGAAATCTCTTGCAAGACTCTCGTCGCAAGAAATGGGGCACTGTTAGTCCCGTATGTAACAGTATTAAGTTGATACATTTTATAGAATCGTGGGGATTGTCCCTCCACAGAATATTTTGTAGAAAGCGTTGATCTTTGTTGATCCACGTCTGTCGAAACATTTTTTGAATATCACAGAAAAATATGAATTTGTATTGCCTGAAACGAACTAGAATATCGAATAGATCAGGTTGCACCTGATACCCTTTTAGTGAAATATCGTTCAACTAGCATCCATGACGACACGCAAAGTTGTACTTTTATTTTGTTCGTTGATGACACACAAATGTGGAATAAAATATTTTTGTCAGAATTTTCATTCATGAACGAAAGAGGCACATATTCAGCATGCCCTGAAGAAATATATGTGTCAATGAAGTTTTTGTACTCGACAAATAATTTTTTATCTTTTTGGAATTTATTTTCGAGCGAGAGAAAACGCCGTTTGGCTATAGAAAATGAATCACCTAGTAACTGGTGTTCTTGTGCACTTTTTAAAGGAATATCTACTACAAAACGTCCAGTTTCAAGGATCTTCCTCTAGAAAGTTCTTCCATGTTCCAAAATTTTGTGAGCAGCTCGTCCGTGCTACACGCAGAAAGTAGAGCAACCTCTCCAGAAACATTGTTTGATACTGTAGGGGCCGTCAAGTGAGGAGCTATCACGCCGGCGATTAGGTACCCCAGATGCGAAGCCTGCAAAATTGGAAGCCTGGGGCCAAGAGGAATTATTTCTGAGAGAATTAGGTCGTAGTACAAATCTGCCCCAACCAAAATGTCTATTTGACTGGGTTTGTGAAAGGAATCATCGGCGAGAAAAACGTCCCCTGGAATTGGTAATTTTTTTGTAAGAATGCGGAACTGTGGAAGATTGCAAGTAATATTTTCTAAGATAGCATATGAAATTTTGAAAGATTTTTTATTAAAGTTAGAATGCATTTTTATGTTGACCATCTTTTTTGAAATAGAGTTATTGTGGCCTATACCAGAGATATTTAGAGAAATGTCATATGGCTTATAACCCAGCCTATCAGCGAGACACCGGGTACAAAAGCTAGTCTGACTTCCTGTATCGAGTAACAATCGGGCCGTTAAAGGGTTCCCGTTTTTGTCGAAAATGGTGACTTTGGCCGTAGCTAGAAGTATGTTTGAATTTTTTACGGACAAAGCAGAAAATGAATTTGTAAGAGGTTCTTGCCCTTGAACCGAAGAGCCTTGAAAAT